CATGACCCCGCTACATTTTGGGGCCATTGCAAGCGTGCATTCGTTCACAAACCAGAGAGAAAGGGTGAGTCTGTCAAACAATCCTGACAATGGCTTCTCTTAACTCTGCCTCCGACCATCCATCTCGTGATGAACACAAACCAGAAAAATTGAACGTGGTGCAAGAACTAGACGAGGATACAGATGTCGAGCAACGAGTTGCGCCCGACCAGATCGACGACAACTTTCGCACCACCAGATGGGAGATCTGGGCTTATTATGCGTGCGTTACAGACAATATTCTGTGTACTTGGTACTAAACAACAGCTATCAGTTACTATATAGGCAACAATGGCCTGTCTCTATTCAGTAAGGCCCTCATTTGTCAACCACGGCCGTTTTCCCAGAAAGAAAGCTAACAGCAAATACCGACTTTGCACCCACTGCCTGCCAGAACCTCCTCTCCCAAGCCGCAGGAGATCAAGGCACCCTTTACTTCGCCGGAAAGCAACGATCCATAGACAGCATCGTTCTGCTAAGCAACGGCATCTCCTTCGCCATCCAAGTCGTCCTCTTCCTGATAATCGGCAGCTTCGCAGACTTTGGCAACTGGCGACCCAATATACTGATCGTACTCTCAGTCGTCGCATACGCCATCGGCTTCGCTTGGCTGGGTGTACACGAAGCAGACAAATGGCACGTCGGAGTTGGACTATATATCGTCGGACTGATCGCCTACCAGACCACGCTGACTTTCTGGACGGCAGCGTTTCCGGGTCTCGCACGGAACACGAAGGAGATGAAGGACGTCGCAGAGCAATACGTCGCAGGAAGTATTTCCAGAGATGAGTACGACCATGCCGACACGATGAAGCGCAGTCAGCTTGCGAACATTGCTTTCTATGTGCAATCGGTCGGAGAGCTGTTCGTGCTGGCTGTTATTGTGGGGATTATGTTCGCATTGAATGTCGATGCTAGCGAGAAGAACAATAATTGGGGATTGAGCGTGCTCATTGCTTTCGCTAGCGGTGTTTGGCTTCTCGTCTCGTTACCGTGGTTCGTTTTGGAGAAGAGACGCCCAGGACAGGATCCCCAGGGGAGCAATATTGTTGTTGCTGGGCTGAAGCAGCTCGTTCACGCGGCGAGACAGATTTGGAAGTTGAAACAGAGCGTTATATATCTTATCGGTAGGGATATCTTCATTGTAGTTGTTATATGTCACTTTGGTATCATGTACATGCCACTGACAAACATACATATGACAGGATACTTCCTCCTCGGCGATTCCCTCAACACAACAGTGACGGTGATATCTACCTTGCAAAACAGCATCGTCTCCTACAACACACTCCAATTGACCTATCTGCTCCTAGTCGGCATCGCAGCCCAGGCCGTCGGCATCTACGCCTTCTGGTACGCCCAAAAACGCCTCAACCTCAGCACCAAAACCATGTTCAACCTCATAGCCATAGCGATCATCCTCCTCGACGGCTGGGGCATGATAGGCATCTGGACCCAGAAGTTCGGCTTCCATCATCTCTGGGAAGTTTGGGTGAGTTCCCCATCTTTCACACACACACACACACACACACACACAACACCTCCCTTATATACCACTAAAACATACATCCACCAACCCCCACCTCTCCACCAACTGCTAACCCTTTACCCATGATCCAGCTTTATCAAGCCTACTACGGCCTCTTCGTCTGCCCCTGGTACAGCTACTCCCAGATCATGATATCAGAAGTGACGCCTCGCGGCCACGAATTTCTCTTCTTCAGTTTATTCAGTATCGTGGGCAAGACGTCCTCATTCATCGGGCCGCTCGTTTCAAGCGCCATTATCGATGCCTCGCCGTCGGGGAATAGCTCCATGCCATTTTATTTCCTTTTTGCGTTGAGTGTGCTTAGTTTTGGGTTCTTGGTGGTCTTTTTGGATTTGGGAGTGAGTAGGAAGGAGCAGAGGGTTTTCTTGAAGGGGAGGGGAGGGGTGGATGGGGAGGAATTGGAGTAGGTAGAGTTTTGTTTTGGGGGTAGTGCAGTTCGGTATAGACGAGGTTGGTGGTTTTGGGGGGTGTATACTTAACCGATATTACTTACGGAGGGTGTCTGTTTGAGATGCTGAGGGGGCTATATGTATAGAGAATTGTACAAGTGGCGTGGGTTTAAATGTTGGCTATGAAACTCATATCTGTTTAATTCTCGTACCATATCAAATAAAGTCAGCTGGAAAGACTAATAGCTCCCAACTCAGTAGGTTATACATGACCAATCCCACTCAACACAGGCTTTTTTTATATCCCCTCCCAGTAAATAGCAGGGGCACATAAGTGAGAAGAATAAAGAAAGAAAACTCCAGCCCATGCTATGCCTAAGCGCCTTATATATCGAACGTAGTATACGAAGGGTGATAACCGAAGCAAAGGAAAGAAAATAGAGACCGACAGAAGATACCAAGTCAAAAGGTGGAGGCAGCAACAGCAGCAGCAGAAGAATCACGCCTCTCCATCCGACGCATCCTCTTTCGACTTGGACTTCTTCTTCTTCTTCTTTTCCTTCTTCTCGGCACCATCGTCGCCATCTACATCCGCGGCCTCGGAATCGCGCTTCCGCTTCTTCTTCTCTTTCTTCTCCTTCTTTTCCTTCTTCTTCTCCGCTGCATCCAGCTCCTCGGGCGGCACGAACGCCTTCTCGCGCTCCTTCATCTTCTCTTCGCGCTTCAACCGCTGTCTCTCCATGACCTCCTCCTTCTGCTGCCGATCCTTGGCCTCCTTGGACAGGAAGTACTCGCCCGACTCGATCTGGAGATCCACCTTGCTCTTCTCCGGCGCCGGCGGGAAAGGAGTGTACACCTTCTTCGTCTTGTCGGTGACCTTGAACGGCACGCGACGCTTGGACAGCGTGCGCTTCTTGAAGTTAGGCAGGAAGCGGTCCCAGGATTCGTTCGCCAGGGTCGGGTCCTTGGCCAATTCGCGCTTGATCATGAGTTCCTTAATGTGGTAGATCGGGTGGATGTTGGCCATGCAGTCGTTGATGATGCGACGGACTTCCTTGAGACCCTTGTAGGGGCCCATGACGGAGACCGTGTTACCCTGGACCAGGATGTAGGTGCTTGTGAGCAGCTCCAAGGCTTTCAGGGTGGATCCACCGGGACCGAGAATGCGTTGACGACGCTTAACGAAGCGCTCTTTATTGCGGACTTGGTTGCGGATCTTGATGATGTCGCATGCGACGTCGTCTTCGAGGATTTTGAGGGCCTATTTAGTTCAAAGTGTTAGTAACTTTATTGGTAACCTAGGAATCATAAATTCAGGGTTGTTTACCTGTTGCACCGGCACACTTCTCGACAACAGCTTGATCAAATCACGGGCCTTGAGAATCGCAGCAGGATCAAACGTCTTTCGGGTCGTCTTGACTGTCATGCTACCCTCGACCAAATCCAGCGTGCAGGCAATACCGAATTTCTCGAGCGCTCTTGTCACCACGGGCCATGCTTCCTTCAGGTAGACTTCACGGTACTTGGGGAAAAGAGTGGCGAAGGAAGATTCTTCAGCGAAACTACCGGCGACATTGTCTTCGGCTTGGAAGGGTTCGACCTGGTCGCAACAAATTTGCAGGTTAGTTTCGGTCGGGTTCGAGTGTTTCGATGTTTTAGATTTGGGTGATATAGCGTACCTTCCACTTGTCAATGTCATCCGTATCCCACGGCTTGTCCCTCTTGTAGGTGGAAGGCATGTTGAGTCCAGGGGTGGCTCTTGTGATCTGCGACGGTGATGGAGAGAGACTTGGAGTTGATGATCGAATGGCGGCCAACTTTTTCTGAGTCCCCGCGGGTGCTTACCCGATTGGGTAACCCATTGGTGCCTGTGAATTAAGGTTTCATTCAGGCACCAAGGATTGTATGGGATTCCCGCCGTAAGCGCCCAAGCGCGACTGGGATGATGATCGAGCGTCTGTGTGATGGAGGCTCTTACGGCGTCACTACGGTCTTGGCTATGGGGCATGTTTCTGATAATTCACTAGATTTTATTAGGATCTATGGCGCAAGAAAAGGAAAGGCCCAGCACGTCTGATGGGTAGATCAGCTACAGTAAGGGAATGGTCTTTGTTGCTCAATTGGTATGACACGACGATTTGATGTATCAGATCCTGGTGATTGGTGCGGGCTTTCACGTATAATTGAGGAGATGATCCCGTTTTATTAAGCGATGTGCTGCGATTCTCTGATCCCGACCCATTTGGGCCCATCGCCAAAGCGGGTCAACAAAGATCTGTGGTTATTTCACGCAAATAGGTGGCCGTATGACTTCGACCTGACGGAAGGCCTCGGTATACGATAGATTGGCTAGTATCCATGCTCCTTGGCCTGAACTAGCCATTGAGTATCCCTCGGACAAAGGGTGGCCTTGTCAATGTTCACTGAGTGCGCCCCTGGTTATTATGGGGGCTTGTGCGGCAGCTTGCTCCAAATCGGACTCAATGGTGGGAAAACATAGGCGACAAGGCCTACAAAAAGCCTAAGTAAGCCTCCATGACCATTCATTCTATTGTAGTAGTAGAGCGCGGTACATGCCCCAATGAATATCTAGCAAGAGAGCCCTTTCTGCTGGTAGGGAAGGTCAGGGCTTCCATCGCGTCCTTGCCCAAAGAAACACGGTAGATGGGGCGACGGGGCTTGATCGATCGAGGACGGGCTGGTACTAATGACGGCGTAGACCATTGTCTTGCCCCATGTGCACCTGTAGTGGTTTTAGACGGGGGGTTGCTGCGAGCAGAGCATCAGGGCCTGAGCTTATCTTGGGGCGGTCTTTTTCTGTTCGAGTCAGTCGGTGGCCAGTAGTCAGGCACACCTGGTCCCGTGGCTCTGGTTCCGTCCCGAAACGCTGTGCCTCCTCTCTTCTTGTCGCCGTAACTCTTGTTTTCTTCTTCTTCCTGGTTTACCTCTTTGTATCCCTGAACTTTTAAGGTTCCATCAGTTTGTGGCCATTCCTGTGGTGTCAGCTCTGCTCTTTCTCTCACAATTCATGACTCGTTCAACATCCGCGATTCATCTCCCGAGATGAGCTAATTGAGCCACCCGATTCACCACCGGCACTTCCCTCTTGGTGGGGTGGTCTTAATGATGGCTGGGCCGTCACTCCCCTCATCGGTGGTCGTCAGCAATGGTACTAATGGCCGGCTTTTCGACTGACTCTCGTCAGTTGCAATGAGCATGTTTTCTTGCCCTGTCTGCATGGCTCCCTCCTGTCTCCGATTTAGTAGAAGCCGTCCAGCCGGATTTCGAACTGAATCCGTCAGTGCATTTGCTCAAGATATTCCCGTGAACGCCATCACCTTTACCAGCACCACTGGAATCATCCCCCGGGCAATTCTGTGCCTGTTTATAACTTGGGACAGCCTTGGTGGGCGGCAGGACTCGACCACGCTGAATGACAACGTCAGGGAACCTCACTGGTGTCCCAACAGGCGTCGAGAGAAAGACGACCAATGGGAGGGAGATTCCCTGGGAATATGCGTGACAATGTACTGGAGCTCTACCCGCTAGTCAGATGAAAGCTGGTTGCGGATGAAGAATGAGTGAAGAGGTTCCCTTGACTGGGCATTGTCTAGCTTATCTTTAACTTCAGCGTTGAAGTTAGTCTTCTAATATCCAAACAGTGCCGAATCATCAATGCAGCCCAACAATACTCCCGATTTGCTGTGGCTCTAAACTTGCATTTTTATGACCGCTACTCCATCCCTAATACCCTCTATGTCGGCTTTCGTCCGATAGCAACGTACCTGAACCGTCAGCATCTGTTCGGATCATTCGAAAGACCTACTTACAAAGGGAAATATGTTTTCAGGCTTGGGTTTTCCGCTTCTTTTTGTGCTTGGTCGATCAGCTGCTGGAACTTGTCATGCGACATGTGCAGGCGTTGGGTCAATGGATAGAGTGCCACTGCGGCGAGCAGGCGTCGGGTGATCTTGCGGTTGGCTTTGCCTATGTCTCGCATTTTCGGTTCTACTGGATTGTCAGGAATTCACTCACTAATACTGGCTTGGAAGAACTCACCGCTAGGCCATTCGCAAAGGGGGATAGGTATCATTGTGGATTCAACTTCCTTCAGCCCTGCTGCTAGCAGGAGATCTCTCAGGCGAGTGCCTATACGAAGATCCTTGACGCCTTCGACTGAGCTCATGAGCTTTGTACTCCACTGTCTCAATGCGTGCTTCTCCGTGAGCGAACCGTTATCCGACTGGACGTTGAAGTAAATTTCAACCAACTGCACCCAACCGCCTGGTTTCAAAACTCTATTACACCTTGAAGTCAGTCTCGCATTATCTTCACAGCATCCGTGACCCTAGGGCCCGCTCCTTCCAACCGGACCTTTTGATGTCTTGTATATATGACGACCATCGGGATCCGTCGATACCTGCTGCCATCATCCTCGAATTGACGAGATCGAAATATCCAGGGGGAAAGGTAAAGGGGCGGTTCAAGTCGTCGACCTACGGAATCAAAAATTAGATTATCTGGACGGGAACAGCTCGAGAGACAGGAAAATCCGTATTTGAGATGAATCTTGCGCTCTGACACTAGGCAGACGCACGTTCATAGGTATCAGGAGAGAAAAGGAAGGAGTCTTACCTGAAACTCCAAGTTTTCCGCCACATCATAATCGTCATCTTCGTCATCTGGTATCATATGAGGAGATATATCAACACCGATGACCTTTTCAGTTATGTCGTTAGTCAGTCAAAAACGGCAGCGCTATTTGCCCGGGTCTGACCTCGCATTCTGGAAATTCTTCTGCCACCTGAATGGCCCAGGACCCCGCGCCGTGACCGCAATCAAGAACTCTTTGAGGCTCACAGTCTCGCGGGAAGATCAGCCGATTATCAAAGATCATGTTGAAGACGTGATTCTGGAGCTCGAGCCGCTTCGCTTCGTCCTAGTAATGTGGGATGTCAGTCATGGTTCTCGGTAGTGCAAGGTTCTTGGTTTCTACGCGATCAACTGGCTGGAATGATATCTCATTATCAATCGAATATTGTTGGAATTCGCGTCCGTGAACGGTCATTGTGTGGCGATACGTCTCGTCCAGATTCTCCGTCTGCGAGTCAGGGCTCCTTGTTGATGAAAGAAAGGTCAGTCTCTCCTGGCAGCATGCACGGGTTATGGCAACGGGCTGTGTACGTCATTGTTTTTTTTTTTTTTTTCTTTCTTGTTTCTCAGGTAATTGTATAATACGACGAGATGATTATGTTGATGTGTGGCAAAAGAAATCATGTGCAAAAGGGGGTTCTATAACGTGGAGAAAGGAGCAATGGAGGATATGTGCCCAGTGGATGTTCCAAAAGCGGTTGATGCGGCACACACCGGATTTTTGGAGGGCGATAAAAGTCCCACTGGGCACAGACAAGGAGGTACCTATCTTGGCCTCGCTGAGCGAGTTGGGGAGTACTTACTATGCGGGACTCAGCGTCCGTACGTTTTAGTACGGATGGTGGGAATTTCCGCTCTGTGCAGGACCAAGCATCCGCCTGGGGGCAGAAAGGGCAAAGGCCATATATCATTGGCAGGATGGCCCTGAAACGCACTTCCGAGCAGGCAAGACCGAACTCAGGATACTCCATGCGCGAACTACACTAATTCACAGCTTGTTGAGTGTACGCCTTGCTTGGGTCAAATACATGCTTATTTGGGCATTGGAGACATTGCTTTCATGGCCCAGGGGAAGGAGGGGATGTTCCCTTCCGGAGGGGTCAATAAATCCGACAGAATAAGCATACAGGCAGCCCAGGATGGCTCCCTAGACCAATCCTGTAGGATACGACCGGCCGCAAGCCTGGAAGGCACGGTGGCACAATGGCTTTGGCCATTCATCGGCTCGTGTTCTTTGTCTATAAGGCGAAGGATTCGCGCCGACTTCCTTGCAATGACCGGGGCGCAGAAAGTTTGGTGTTGTTACTAGGCTCGTATCGTGCCTGCTTAGATTCTAAGGAAGGTCTTTCGCATGAGCCAAGCCAAGTACTAGTGAGTTTACATTCTAAGCCACAGACTAAGGAAACTTGATAGCCACACACAGAATCGCTTTGTCAAGCAACTATGAATGACAGCCTTGTGATTCACCTGGTTCAGAAGTGAGCCTGGCTTTTAGTGTGCGAGGCTGTACACAAGCAAATGAAGCGGTGGAACGGTACAAATTGAACTGCATTGTTCAGCCGCTTACTGGTCACATCCTGTATGACCATATCCTTCCACAGGGGAGGGGGGGGAAGCAAAGCGAGGTCGGAGGGGGTTGAAACTGTCAAAAATTTCGAGCTCCACTCAAGGAGCCAGTCAAAGACTCAAAGTTAGGGTCACCTAGTCTCGTCGCAATTATTGGAGGCCAAAGACTTCTCGGGCTTTGGAGGCGCAGAGCCGTCGGGAGTCCTGGCTTCGTCCCGTTGTCACCTTCGAGGCAGAAGCGACTCCCCAATCACGGCGAGTGTCCTAGCTTTCTACTAACATACAAGGCTTTCAGGGACGTAATGTATGACGGCATCAATGCTCGAAACAGGTGGGGTTGTCTACTGAACGATTGTAAAGCACAGGTAGGTGAATCTAAAAGGTCGGGAGGTGCTAAGTCTGCCACTAGCCCTCCCAATTTCGATGCAGGATTTTTTGCCCCTTCTTATTATGACAGTCGACCTGCATCCGACACGCTCACCGCTCCTTTGGGTATCGCGCAATGATCTAAGGGCTCAAAGTGAAGGCGACTAACAGCAACCTGAGATGGCCGGTTCAAGTCGAGGCTGGCAGAGTTTTTGGCATGCGACCGCCCCTGAGGGACAGACCAATGGCGTCTCCCGTGGCGTTGGAACAGTGACTCCGAGTCCGACTGAGCGACAGATGATCGGGGCCTAAACAGATGCGGAGACTTTAAGACATACCTGTTCTGGTAAACGGCCGACGCAGCACCGTCACAATATCAGCCCGGGACTGGCTCCCTTCTCTCCCTTATAGTGTTGCCCAGTCTCAGGGACAGTAGGACACTCGAGCCCGAGGAGAAAGCATTTCTGTGACGAACAGCCGGGCTCCGCAGAGGTGACACATGAAACGCGGTCTCCCATTCAGCCGAATTGCTGGTGGCTTCGATGGGGACAGATGGCCGACCCGTCTGCTCCGCTAGGTTTGCGCCAAGAGCGTGCATTGATCTGGCCATGATATTCCCCGAGCGCAACCCATGCATGCAGACAGGGAGGTCATGCATGTCAAGGCCGTCAGACGGGCTTGGGATTAGAGCATCCATGTCGTCGGGTCTGACATGGGAAGAGGACATGGGCACAGGGCACGCAGGCAGTGGGCGGCAAACCCAGAACCATGGTTCAGTTTCGGGTAGGGGAAGGCCTGCCGTCGGGGCCTATCTACGGGGCGGTTAGGCCCGCTAGTGCCCTGGGGCGGTGCCCACTGTACTTGCGGCAGTTGTCATAGTGCTACTGTCGACGGCGGATTTGAAGTCTGAAGGATCGTGAAGAAATCTAATAGTTAGATGAGGGGGGCGTTGAGTCATGTAAGTACTCCAGCCTAGTTCAATATCATATATTCTCTGCAAGGCCCTGAGGGTCATGTGGACTATGCATCTCACTTTGTCCGTTTCGGAACTAGTAGTCCATGGTGCCCTGATCACCACCACCCAATTATGCAAGAAAAAATATATGAGTTCACATGAGTGAGAGAGGGGTGCTTTCTTCCTTTCTTTAGCGTACAAAATTTTGACTAGCGTATTATACAATGGGTCATGCTACACGTAACAACACCCGATCTTGCCGAGTACTTCCTTCCTGCGGAATATTCTTTCTTCACTGCACCTCCTCGCCAGTCAAATACCTTAGACTCGCCTTCGTGAGACCCAGCACCAGTGCAACCTCCTCCTTCGTCCTCGGCGCATAGACCAACACATACTCAGATGGCAATTCAATCAATTTACCGCCCATCAAGGCCCTGGGAATCTTCACACCACTGAAACCATGTCGCTGACCCCAACCAGCATCGAAGACTTTTTTGCCTACAAAAGTCAGTAACCAGCGAGCAAAAGCTCCAAGAAACAATTTTTCTCATGATCCCATAACAAAAAAAAACGTTCAATCCCAATGAAACAAAACATCAGAGAACCAAAGGAGAAGTCGAAAGAAAGAAGAAAAAGAACTCACAATCCGCAGGCGCCAAAACCATATGCAAGGAATAATCCTTCAAGCGATGCACATGCACACACTCGCCATTTAACTGCCTCGTTGTCTCATTCCTATTAGCAAGCTCCTCCGTCGCAAGGAATATCGCACCCGCATGCATCTCCAGTCTCGAGTCGGCGATTTTCACCAACTGCGAGTTCTGCTCTGCTAGGGCGTAGAATTGCTCGTCGAGGTGCTACACTCTCCACATATTAGCTTACCAATACTCCCCCATATATTCTTACCCCCCTCCCCCCCCCCCCGGGATAAAATTTATGGTATATATATACTACATACCTTCTTCACCTCCTCCCCTGCAAACTCCCCAATCTGGCGCTGCGGCACATAATGCGGTCCCACAGCGGGCCTTTTCTCCTTCTTCAGTGCGTTCAGCATGTCTACTGTGTCTTCGGAAAGGTATGATTGGGTCTCGCCGTTCGCGATCTTCTTCTCGTAGACGGTGGTGCTGGTCATGTTGCGCCCGAATGGGTATAGGAGGAACGTCACCCCGAACCAGCCGAGGAGGTTATATGGGGCGCCGCCGGGGCCGTAGGAGAGGTAGGTTCTGTAATTGCTGTAGAGGAGGGGCAGGAGGATGGTTGTTAGGGTGGTTAGTGTTATTGTTATTGGGGATGGGGTGGTTCTGGTTGATAGCCAGGATTGGGGCCGGGTGAGGGTTGATTTGAGGGTTGTGAGGAGGGGGTGCATCTTGGTGGTTATGTTGATTTAAAGCTTGATGTTTGTTTGGAGATATGAAGGTTTGTAAATTTTATTGTATTTATTTGAGGTAGATCAAAAGAATAGTAGGAAGTAAAATGTAGTAGACAGATGGCACGGTGATGATGATGTGCAGTGAGGGGGAATGATGGGGGGGGGGATACAAGGGGTTCATATAGTATTACTCCGTTCAGTGAGATCATGTCACGGGCAGGTGATCTGATGCGTTTCTTGCCTTGCTTATTATATATTATTCTCCGATATAATCGGGCTCGGGGCTTATAATTTCAGCTACATGACTATAGATGGTGAGAGATGCGAGCTTACCCTCACTATCTTGATCTTCTTATGGGCTGGAATGAAGCAAAGCTATCACTGTTCGGGTAAGCGTTGCGATACTCAGTTACGGTCGGGGATTCCGTCCGAGGGATTCCGATTCCGGTTTCTCTTCTTGTGTTGACTCACAGCCACGGAACGTGACTGCGGATCTATTGGGGCGGATTCAGAAGGATTAATGATGATGTTTGATGATGATGATACGCTGTTTCTGTTCGTTCATAATCTGGTCATTCATTGCATTGCATTATTAAGTAGAGTAGTGGGTATTCGCAAATCATTATCGGACGTCAAGCATGTCCCGTCCGTCTTTTCTTCCTGATACTCCAGCCTTGCCGTGGGCTAACACATAAGGTAATAAAACAAAAACTATGGAGAGGAGGGTGTACGAGTGTGAGGTGAGGTTTTGCGCCGTTCATTGTAGGGCAGAGAGGCAGAGACTCCCTGTTTGTCACGGAACAGCAGTTCGCAAGCGCGGCCTGTAGGGCTTTGGGGTGGGCCTGTAGAAGTCCCTCAGTAAGGGACGGCCTCGCACGGCTGTGTTTAGGTGCTGGATATCGCCGCGTAATGTGGAGAACCATCGACTTGAATGTTATTCCAAGCTGCGAGGGTGGTGAGGTTACCCGCGGGAACCTTTCTTCGAGGAAAGAAGGTCCTCAACTTCAGTCCTCTTTACTGATCGCGCTCAGGGCATGCGCCAGCTTAAGAAGAACGACACTTTCAGTCGCGGCGTAGTAGTTCAAGCTATAATATCATTAGCGTTATCGTTTAACGGCAGAAAGGTATACCCACCTGTCCATCAGAATCCGCAGATGTCGGTTGAAATGCTCCTCGCATCGCCTCAATGTCTCCTCTAGCTTGTCGATACGCGACGGGTCATAGCCTCGCCCGTCTGAACCAGCAGCTTTGTTTCCCGCTAGGTCAGGGTCCGCTGACGCGAGCGCACGCGCGAGTGAGGATGTGGCCCAGGAGGAGAACATGGTGCAGCAGGTCATGAGTCGATGGTGGATCTGGTCAATTGTGAGTACGGTGCCATCATAGTGGACTTGCTAACAAACCTTGAGCAGTTTAGCCTGTGTGAGCATGCATTCCTTGAGGCATGTATCCAGAAAGTCCACGTGGTCCTGCATCAACTCGTCCACAGTGCGATTGACTTGTTTGGTGCCGTTGACGGTCACCTCGGAGCCATCGGCATCAGTGCCATTTACCCGGTCCATGAGGTTCTGCCAGTTGGGCTCTACGACCTCGGCCGTGCAAAAGTAGAGGAGCTGCTGTACAAACACCAACATCTTGGAACGCAAATTCCACGCGCGCCTCTTCCACATCTCTAGTCGTCGGTCAGAAGACTTGTGCCTCCAGGCAATGACCTTGCTCTGGTCTAGCCACGATGTGACAAGCATAGTCTCAATGTGACGGAGTGACAGGATGTGTCGAAATATTAGCTGGTACCGGAGAACCGTTTTGCGACTGATAACGAGGGATAGCGGGAAGGGAACAGAGTAATCCAGCTCCAAGGCATCGAAGCCCAGTATATCCTTGTCGTCCTCTCCACTTTGGCTTGTAGGTGCCTGGTACTTCTCGATTGCCGCCTCCGGGTTATCCTGATCGATACCAGAAACGCTTACAACCTGCATCAGCCATTTTGTGAGCCCGACCTTGTTCATTCGGACCTTGACATCTTCCTTGAACGGGTCCTGAGCCGCGATACTCCCGGGTTGTCGCAACACCAGATCAAGAAGCGATTGGAGCTTGCTTTCGTTGACATTCTTGGCGGGCTTGCGTAGTTCAGATGCGCCGAGCTCGAGGAAGTAAGAGAAGAAGTCGGAGCGATCCAGGAAGAAGTAGTGCTTGAGGGAACGGAAGCGGGTCGTAAGTGAGTTCTTCGTGAGGAGAAGATTCAACAGCGATGCGTTGGCATATGTGTAGGCTGCATTGACGTTCTCTAGGAAGCGAGGGTCGTCGAGAGTTTTTGGAACATCTTTAACTGCTTTGCTAACATCGACACCACCACATTCTCGTACGACATTCAGATACTTTCCGGCCAGAAGAACTTTGTCCTTGACGCTTTCCAGTTGTGGCGGAACCTCGTTTTCGCGGATTGTATATCGCTTCTCCCAGTATTCGTCCGTGTAATCTTCTTCGAGCTTCTCCCGCTTGATCCACTTTTGCTCTTTGACAAGGAACTCGCCATGTGGGTCCTTAATGCCTCCATGGTGCAACCATTCATTGAGCATTGTCATATACGGCCGACTAGCATCCCGCAGCAGCCTTTCCAAAAGAGCCTTCGTGGTCGGGTCGCCTGAGAATGTCGTCAGTTGCTCAGTAAGGAGCCGCAAAACATTGCCGCCTTTGCAGATCCTCTTGCTAGACATGGCTCCGGGCACAAGCTCTCCGCCCTCCTTGAGTTGCTCCAGGATATTGTCCACATCGTCGAAATCGTCGAGTGACTCGTCGAGATCTTGGTCTAAAAGCCCATTCCGTCGGAGTAGCTCCTGACCCAAAGTATACAGCTGAGCCAAGCATTGGCTCGTCGGCATGAGGTGTAAATGAAGAACATGTAGGGTGAAGCTCGGGTTGTTGAGCAATTCGTGCTCCAGCTGGGCAACGAGGACCAAGTACTCCTTGAGCAATTTCCGGATTGTCGCACATAGCGCATGGCTGACTGCTCCGTATTCTGCGCGACTCTGTACCTCCACAAATGATTCTAGCGCACTGTAGTGAGTTGCTATCTTTAAGGTCGATTGTGTAAGCTCCTTTAGAGTCGGGTCCATTCCCGGGGGTAGCTGGAAGGCAGGTCCAGTCAGCCTGTCCTTCTCCTGAGACGGATCATATGACCGGTAGTGAATGTATTGGCCCTCAAATCCCATAAAAACGTATAGCAAATCCTCCAGTATTGCCTTTTCCTGCGCATCGGCCGAAAGTTCGCGGAGCGGTGTTGGTTGAAGCGACTGAGGCAGAGCGGAAGCCAAAGGAGGAAACGATACTCGACTAGCTAACGGTGCTGTAGAATGGGGCATCAACGAAGCTTGAGGGTTCCATGGAGCTGGAGCAATATGTAGTTAGCGCGCGAACATCTCTCTACCTGCCAATAGCTCAAGGAAGTAAGACTAACTCTCCGCCGGTTGCTTCTCCTTCTTTCGGGAATTGGGGCTGGCCCCCTCGGGTTGACTCGGTCCTCGTTTCGATCGGGATCTCTCCATGAATTCACCTCTATTGCCTGCACTGGACGACTCCTTGACCGGGTTTCTCGTTCGGACTTGGGACTTATCTCGCGTATGCATCGCCATTCGCTCAGTACGCTTGTCGCTGACGGAATGTTGTTGATCGCGAGACGATCTGGTTTTCTGGCTGGATGTGCTCCCGCGATGGTCTATATTCTCCGATTGCAAGGGGGAAGCACCGCTGCGCAGACCGGGCTTCTCAGCGTCGGCGACGCGGTTGGACGCAACGCGGGGTCTCGGGGCGCTCATGTAGCTGGCGCGACGCTCATTGACGGACATGGTCCCGCAAGGTCGAGGAAGGTAGAAGGAACAATCATGCAGCCTGTGCCAATAACACCATTGAATGAAGTAAACAGAATGTAATTCAAATCCTGGGAGAAACCGCAGCCACTGGACCCGGACTACACGTCCCGAAGCCGTAGTTTTGGGTTCCATCCGGCAAAGCAAACAGTTGCCGTGGATGCCTGATGGCGGCCTGGGGCAGCAACAGCCCTCTCCGCCAGGCACTCGCCGGACTTGCGTAGACAACCGCAACAGCTTCGCCCGAGCTTCCAAGAGCTGCTGCCAACTCTACCGTCCTCACTCTATCTCCTACATCCCAATCTCGCCTTTCTCCCCCACTCTTCCCTACCTCACCTCCATCTCACTAATTGTCATCACATTTCCCACATAATCCAACATGTTCATTGCCCGCTCGGAATACGGTAAGCTCCGTCAGACCTCCCCCTCTGATGCGGTCATCTAACAGCTTTCCTTGACAGACCGTGGAATCAAGTACGACTCTGATGCCCCTTTGCTGCATAGCAATGCAAGCATATACAGTGTCTAACCATGCGATAACAGCACCTTCTCTCCGGAGGGGCGTTTGTTCCAGGTCGAATACTCTCTCGAAGCTATCAAGCTGGGTTCAACAGCGATCGGTGTACGTGCATCCATTCCTGCCCGACTACGTTTCATACCTCACCTTCTCGAAACCATCAACTACACTAGTGGCCTCCGATAATTCTAACATCATTGTAGGTCGCAACCTCCGAAGGTGTCATCCTAGGTGTCGAGAAGCGTGTCACCTCCAGCCTCCTCGAGGCCTCCTCCGTCGAGAAGATCGTTGAGATCGACCAACACATTGGCTGCGCCATGTCCGGTCTGCAGGCAGATGCCCGGTCCCTGGTCGAGCATGCCCGTGTCGAATGCCAGAACCATGCCTTCCACTACGCCGAGCCGTTGAGAGTCGAGAGCTGCACCCAGGCCATCTGTGACCTGGCCCTGCGATTCGGAGAGACGGGGGATGACGAGGAGAGCGTCATGAGTCGGCCTTTCGGTGTCGCCTTGTTGCTCGCTGGTATTGATGAGGATGGTCCGCAACTGTATGTTGGGTGTTCTTCCCGCTTACTCACCTGCGGGGAAGTGAGACCGTTACTTTGAACGTGTGTACTGATTGATTCTATTTGTTTAGATACCACGCGGAGCCCTCCGGAACGTTCTACCGATATGATGCGAAGGCGATCGGGTCCGGAAGCGAGGGTGCGCAGGCGGAATTGCAGAATGAATACCATCGTTCCTTGACGCTGGGTGAGGCGGAGACTCTGGTTCTCAAGACGTTGAAGCAGGTCATGGAGGAGAAGCTGGACGCGAAGAACGTCCAGCTCGCTAGTGTGACTAAGGAGAAGGGCTTCCGTATTTACGACGATGAGGAGATGGGCAGGGCTGTTGCGCAGCTGGGCAGCAACCAATGAGGAGGGCCTCTACGCATGAAGATATAATGGGCCAGCAAGTATATCAACATTAGTTCGTCCTGTCCGGACTGGTAATTGTCATGGTATCCATAGAAAAGAACAACGACCTCGTCTAATGACTTCGAATGGTTAAATCCCCCGACCTTCTTTTCATATGCAAGTTAACTTTTTCTTCCTAATGACCAAACAAGTCGCCGATGATATCATAGTATATACAGATGGCTAGTAATTGTAACACTCAAGTTCCGATCACAGCTATCTACCGGATCTTGTAGACACAAGGCTTGAGAACAGCAGCCTCTTCCTCTGCGGTCATCCCCTTGTCAGCGAGAGCAGATCTGTCAATGAACCTCTTCTTTCCAGGACCAGCAGCCGCGCCTGCCGTCGAGGCATATTTACCCTTCGTAGGAGCACCACCCGCCTTGACAAACTCCATCTTCACGAACATCTTATTAGACTTGTCAACTGACTCGGGCTTCAAGAGGAAGCCACGTGTGCGGAACACCTCCACGAAAGCAGAGATATCCGTCTCGTCGTCATTATCGGCCGGACGAGCGTCTTCAGCATAGATATCTGCATCATCCACGTCTGAGCCTTCATCATCACCAGCCTTCTTCTTGAGCTTCTTCTTCTCTGACTTGCTGAGCGGCTTCTTTGCTCCAATTTGTGCCTTCTTGCGGTGCACCTTGCCGAAGCGACTCTTGACTTCACTGACCCAGCACTCGCCCTTGCCGTCACTGCGCAGGACCCGCCATGCTTCCTCCACAAAGGAGACCCAGTTGGTGCCCATCAGACTGAGACAGAAGACAGTCACGTCAACAGAGCCGTCTGCCAACGGGAGGTTGGAGATGTCTGCCTTGGTGATCGGAGAGCCCTCGGGGGCATGGAGATCGTAGCTGAGAAGCTTGAGGTTCAGCTTCTGGGCGGAAGGCAACAGGGCACGGGCGAGTTGGGCGTCACCACAGCCAAGATCAGCAATGGTGCACAGTCCGTTGGGCCGACGAGGAAGGGCGAGAGCGGAATTCCGCTTGTTATCGGGCTTTCCTTTCTTGGGAGGGCCACGGACTGCCCCTCTACCGCGGAAGGCCCTGATGTAGCCATCGACAGGGTTGGAAGGCCAAGACTCCTTGACCTGGCGAGAGAAGCCTGCGTGATACTCGTCGAACAATTCCGGGTTCGCGCTGAAAAGCTCAAAGGCCTTGGCAGAGGGTGTCGTGTACAGCGTCTCGTTCAGATGGCGGAAACGGGATGAAATCAGCTTCTGTCGCATAGCTTGTTGGAGAGGAGTAAGAATGGCTTCTGTTTTTGGTGGAGCAACAGGCAGGGTCTCGGCGGCTGGAGTTTCGGTTGAGACTTCTTGCTGTCCTTCTTGCTGCTTGTTCTTGTTCTTGTTCTTCTTCTGCTTCTTGTTGGCAGGCTTTCCTTCCTCCCCGGTAGCCTCGGTCTTCTCGTCTTTGGGCTGATTTTTCGTCACTTGATTCTGCTTTCCCTGGCCATCTCCACCCTTCTTAGACTTCCTATCAGCCTTCACACCATTGTTGTTCGCATTCTGCTTCTGGCCCTTGGGAGTCGATTTCTGGCCCTCAATATGCCGACGGTACATCTCATCCACGTTACCCTTGGTGACATGATCTTCGCGCTTGCGCTTCTTGTCCCTACTGATGATGGGGGTGCTATTAGCCCCAGTCGAGCTCTTGGACGAAGATTGCTTCTGGGAAGATTCGGCCTGCTGCTGCTTGAGAGCAGAGGTCTCGAGGGACCAGCCTGGGACGGCGAACATGATTGTGTTCTCAGCGAGAAGCTTCGCTGCAAGGCTCTTCCCAATGTCTCGTCTCTCCCTAAGGAATTATCTGGTGATTCTAGACCGGGAATATTGGCGTGAACGGTGAGGAGAAATCCCAAAAATTTCTGGCAATAAAAGGCGGAGAATGGCAGCGGGCGGCTTTTCTGCCGTGTCGGCTGAGGGCGGTCAGAATAGTTGGTTACAGTACGCCATTCCCTTTTTGGAATGTACTGCGATCTGGGGTTGTGACAGTCAGGTGAATCTCAGCCTCCTAGTTCGGGACTATAAAACAACTCTTAAAGACTTTGTTGCTGTGATCGATCTTCCTTTGGTGGCTGCATTGCACCGCGATCGATGCTCATGGTAACATGGTACTGCCATGGCTATCCGTCGATCATTCGATCATGAAGACCAAACTAGTTCCAATCGAAGGCAGAGGCAGCACCAGGTAGCTGCTTATGATCATAAACAATGAACATCATCATTTTTATGACCTGTTCTTCGATATCGACTGTTTCAACACGCATCGTGAAGATGTCCTGACTTTCCATCCAGCGGGGCAGCCTTACTGCCTGAGGTGCTCAATCTATGGATTTCGGCCAATCACACGACGCAGCGGCCGGGCGGCAGAACTTCCCCGTTGGATCTTCCCAAGCTTTATTCGCTGCTGCTCTTCTTTACACCCACAGGCTATGAGTCTCCACATCGGAATCCTTGACTCGTTACCTAGCCCAGACGCCTTACAGACTATCGGGTGCTGTCTTGTGACTATGGAAACGAACTTGCGCTCAATTCCCTACCGCCATGCAAGCAACCGACCAAACCCGGAAATCACTACAGGACCCATCTGCCAGTGGGCCAAACGCCGCGCCGGGTCCTGACACTTCGGCGGAAGTGCAGGGAGACTCCACGACGGCGGTTTCGGGCAGTGGATCTACTCAGAGAGTGCCTAAGAAACGCACCAAGTCTGGGTGTCTAAGTGAGTCTCTCCGGTGAGCGTGTCTGAGCAACCTGAGCTTACTAGCCCTAAATAGCTTGCCGGCAACGTCGCATAAAATGTGGCGAAGAGAAGCCCATCTGTAACAATTGTATCAAGTCAAAGCGCGAATGCAAAGGCTATGGTCCGCGTCTAGTCTTCAAGGATCCATTGGGCATTACGGGTACCTCCTCGCAACCAGCAGCCATCAGTTCACAGACCTTCAATGTGCCACCTCCCAGTGAGGATATCAATGATGCTGTCTCCCAGCAAAGGCAAGCCTGGTCTGGCCAACCGGTTCTCGCTCCAAAGCCCGTTGCAACCGCAACTTTGGAACAATCTCCCCAGCCAGTCACAACCGCGGCGCCTGATGAGTTTCAGGCGCCGAGCGCCGCTCCGTTCCAACTGCAGTCAGATACTCTGTCGCAACAGGAATATCCAGTACTCCGCGAGCCGGCAGACACCTTGGCTTTTCTGGACCAACAACGGTCAGCTGGCTTAGAGCTGCGCTATCCGACTGATACAGGCATAGTACATCCGCACACATCTTCCCGGGCACCCGGCGGAAGATTCACATACCCAACCTCGTATCAGGTACTCTCAAATGTCGAAGAAGAACGCGAAGACGATTATTACGATCTTGATACAGACGAGGAGAGCCATGAGCAGACGTTGGCACAGGATTACAATCAGCTCAGCCTTATCATGGCATCCGCTAATCGTGACCAGCAGCAGCTTCGAACTTTTACTACATACCTGAATGAGCCTAACATACTTACTTCATATTCCCCAACTTTTGGCTCCTCTCCACTGAACAATCCCAAAACAGCACGCATTTTCTTGCATTTTATCCATTCTACCGGGCCAACTCTATCCGTTTTTGAGCGGCATCCAATTGATCCTTCCACCATGCTGGGTTCCCCAGTCCCGATGGCACAACAGGGACTCTGGACCTATACGCTTCCTCTAAAAGCCTTGGAGAATCAGCCATTACTGCAGGCCATCCTAGCTTTGAGCAGCCTACATATTTCTTACCTGCAGCAGGCCCCGCCAACAGTTTCTCTGAAGCACTATCATTATGCGCTTAGAAGAGTCGGAGTCGCAGTTGGCCTACCCATGCGACGCAAGCAGATTAGTACCCTAGCTGCTACACTTCTGCTAGGATACTACGAAGTAATGGGGGCCGACCACTCCAAGTGGAATAGTCATGTTGCAGGGTCGGCTCAGCTGGTGCGCGAGATTGACTTTGCTGGCATGACCCGTAGCCTGCGGGCTCAGCGGCGCAGGGTTTGGGCGGAGCGACATCACAAGGGATCCTCCAGCCTTTCCATAGTGGAACCCTTATTTTCGATTAGCTATGGTTCGGAAGATGATCCTTTCGCAGAAAAGGAACATGACATCGACGAAGATCTGATAGGCAATCTTATTGGCCGAGCTGTGAGTTACGATGAGTTCGGACACGTCGATGATGGCCAAGCCAGCTCTCGCCCCGAGAGACATTTTACTAGGAAAGACATTGAAAATTTTCGTATCCAGTGCGATCTCTACTGGTGGTATCTACAGCAGGATGTCATCCAGAGCATTATTAGTGGCGGGCCGTTATTGTCAGTAGCATCCCCAATTCTTCCTTGGTGTAACATCAGACTGACAGCAGCAGCATTCCGTACTCCCAATGGGGACACTGTCCCCCGCGCGCCGGAATGGGTCGACTGGACGCTATATATGGCTCTGCGGATCATCTGTGGCTCTTACTAGGACGATTGGCAGATTTTGGTGTTCGTGACAGAAAGCGGAAGCTGAGAGCAACGGAGGCTACGGGATCAGAGTGGCGACCTGATTCCAGGCTCGCTAGATTTATGGCTCGTTTCACAGGGAGAATGCCGGACCAGCAAACAAGACCGTCGGCCGGTGGCCCTGTGCAGCCTCCTTCTGGTGCGCCAACGGCTGGTCCGCCGTTCTATGGCATGGCTCCGTCCCGAGGACCAAGACATCCTCCACCTGCTTTTGTCGAATTTCGTCATCATGGCCAGTACGACGATGAAAGCGCCGAGAACGGCTCATACGAAGAAGCTGAGGTTGAGTGGGAAAGTATGTTAACGGCTTTCGACACATTTGAGAGCGCTCTCGGTCCGTATTTCATGCCTCTGCCTCCCGACAGTGTGACTCCGATATCGTCTCCTTTCGGGCTTGCTCTGCAGTATCGGACACATACTATAGCTGTTTTGTGGGGATATTACCTCACCGGACGAATTCTCTTACATCGCTTACATCCATCGATGCCTCCCGCCATGATGGTATCTGCAAAGGTAGCAGCGCCGACTACGGCAGGGTACTCACAGGCTATTGGAAGAATCGCGGCTGGGATCTACAACTCACAAGTATCTCATTTAGATGCCGGGAGTTTGAGCCCAACACTCGGATCTTGTCTTATCAAGATGACCGTGCCGATCTTCTTCTCAGCAATCCAATACACAGACCCCGCGCAACGAGATTGGGTCGTAACAAGGCTGCGCAGCCTCTCCCAAAAAAGTGGTTGGAAGACGTCCGAATCTATAGCCAACAGTTGTGAGAATGCGTGGAGAGTCGCTGCGAAACAAGGTCGTGGTCCTCCGTATGAGCGGAAAGACACGACTGAGTACGAACGGGCCTCAACGTGGACACCACCCGTTCAAGAGAGTTCCTTGGGTAATCCCGGCGAAAGGCGTTTCGTCACCATCGCCAGACGCCCGGAAGAAGCTGGCTGGGCCATGGGAATTCTAAGCTTGGAAGATGACGTACTGAACCTCTCAATCGAGGATCGGGTATGAGTACTTCGTAGTAGTTGCTGGCTGGCAAGGTTTCATTCAAGCACAGGCCAATAGATTCCGGGCCTGAATTACAAGTCAGTAGAAACGTTGTCAGTCAACGTCAAGCCACACGATCTATCAATTTCTGTTGACAAGGGCTCCTGATGCAACCATGGCAACATGTTTATTCCTTGTCATCAAGGTGTCACCGACGACAGCATCTGAATTGTGCTGTGTCCACATCGTTCGAGACTTACTACGGAGCTGCTGCTGTCAAAGTCACAGACACTGATGGTTCGTCGCACAAAGCCCTCCAACGCAGCCTGAGTCCACGGTATGTGATGTATCCACCTCGAAAAAAGAATGTCGCCACCACCCTGCATGGGCTCGACCGGGCTCTTAATTACATACAGGACCGGTCGAACGCATTGCGCCACTGATCCGCACCGCCCCTGCAGAAGGCTGATCTCGTCTCCCGCTTGTATCCGCAGGCTGACAGCCCATTTCCATGGTGCTCTGGTTCGGTAAAGTCCGTTTCTGAACCACCTGGCGGGATCTGATTCCTCGCATGGCCCTGCACGTGCATATGCATGCACTAGTCAACTGTCGGGCCAGATGTGATCTCTCCATTTCTGTCTCCTCTTGTTTGAGATCGAGTCTAGAAAAGCAAAAAGAAGTTGCTCCAGAAACATGTAGTAAGGGCTGATTTTGAATAATGGTTATTATGTATCATGGGTCGTTTGTTTCAGATTCCTAGTTAGGAATGTTTTTTCTTGTTTGCTGTGATGGTCATGTCCAGTTGGTTGGAAGTTGATGTGCAGACGATTTAGTGTGACAGTCTTATGCACGATAATAAAATATACTAGTCTACTAGTGTACTGTGCACACCATGATATAATCCCTGTTAGGTTGGTTGCCAGATATGATCTGTCCTTGTCTTAGAACTATTGCATACTTATTAATGAACTTCAGACTAGGCTCAGGCGCTAAACACTAAAAAATAATAAATAATCATGCCTTCGGTAAATGCTATAATGCCATGCAGATCCTGAAACTCGCCCAAACGCAATATCAAAACTAAGTAGTAGTACTGTGAGGTCGATAACAGGTTAAGGAAACCGGAGATGCGAAGAGCTGTAGGCGGGACTAAAATTAATACTACCAATTCTTGGTATATACTATGATACTACATTCAATCTATGTCATTCTTCCTGATAGATGTTACAACCTGATTATATGGAGAAGCAACAGTATTTACTACTATGTCGACAGTGAATCAATCTATATATATCTCATGACCCAACAAGTTGCCCAATTAGGATGTTTCGAACTTCCCAGTACATATCCCTTTCCTACTACTGGACTGAGAGTACTAGAAATCATGAAGATACTAGTAGAAAGTGATATTGCCTTTGTTTCGAGAGAAGAATCGGCGAGGAGCATGAAAGGTGGGAGGCAAAGGGATGGATTCCAGTCTTTCTGTTTCTATCTCGAGGTACTACTCGGCTTGTAGACATTCGTTATGAAGTGGTAGTAAGGTCTGATGATCATGAGATGAAGATACCATATCCGTGTTGTCAAGTATATACTTGTCGTACTAGTACTATTCTTAGCTATTAAATGGACTCCTGCTGGAGATAGTAGCGACAAAGTCTGGGAATAGAAAGGGAGTTGGAATTGGCTAAAGCTTTTAGAAAGTGTCCCTGACTGTTTGAGAACGCTTGGGGGTTGATATTAGATAATGAAAGCTGTGGTGAGCGAAACTAGAGACGGAGGCAGAACTGTCATTGTTCTAGCAGGGATTCGAGTGAGTGCAAGCTATCACGTCAGTTCAAAAGCTAAATCATGGTATGAGTAGTAGTGATAGCCAAAGCTTGGTCTACTTTGGTGCTAAGAAACGAGGGTCCAAACCCTTCTTTCGAACTCATCACCAGCGCGACAAATGTCGTAAAGAGTATTGTCTAATTACAACGGAGCTGCTGATGGTCATGACAGACTGAGACGGTGCTCGAATAATTTTGACAACAATGCTCGACAGCTAATGCGATTGACCGCTTGAAGCAACACGCAACGAGCCGGGCGTGTGCGAGAGCAGCCAGACTCGGCTCGAGACATGAATTTCTTTTTCTAGCTTACAATCCAGGGTTATTCCATTATCAGTATTCACACGTTGGGCTCAGAGATTCTAGACGAGCCCGATTTACCCATTATCCCAGATTAGGAATCCCGAGAGCATCACGTAGGTAACTCGGCCGAATTCGTGGGCAAGAGCATACGTACCTTTCTGAGTCATGGCACAGGGTAAGCCACCAGGAAGGTAATGGGTAGCACCCACCTCCACTCCACGCTTCCCCTTTGACAACGCGAAATCAGGGACGGATTATCTTGCACGATGAGGTTGCACTCCGAAGACTTCCGGAGAGGGTCTCGAATTACTTTGGCCCTGTTGATAGGGGACAGCTGGAACAGCTGCCCACGCTCACCGCTCTTGTGTAGATTGTTTGCGACAGTGCAACACTTGGATGTGAATACGTATGGGCACACACTGCTGAGATCAGCTTTCATTCAATTGAGACACCCCCTCCATTTGCCGGCTCCACGGAAGGTGGATATCCAGCATTAGGTATCAATATGATAAGACCATGCAAGAACGGCATGCACTCACCCGGTAATTCCTAGGAAGTTTGCTTCAAGCGGAAAATAGCTATACGAACGGACATTAGCCCATGGGAGGGATATCGCTTCCGACCAATGATGATTATGAAAGTCGGACTACCGGGGAAGACACAAAGGACGACCGGTTGAGCTCGTACAATGCGGATCATGAGCTCCTAGGAGAAAGGCAATTATGACCTGGAGACTATGCATTGTCCAAGGTTTTGTTGATAGTATCAACCGAAATAGTAGTATGTCAAGTGTATCCATCTTCGGGCCGATCAAATCAAAATCAAAGGCACTGCAGACTGTGGGGTCAGGGCACATCCCTGAGCTCAGTCTAGACCCGAAGCGATCTGCCCAGGATGGAGAAAGACACAGGGAAATGGGAGAGCAGTGAGTGGTGAGTACCCGACGATAGCAGCCATTGAGGAGGCGTGCAGGTGACTTGCCTGGATGGAGGCTTGGCGCAGACGACAGTTGGCAGCACCAGACTAGATTTGTTTTTGGGGGAGATGGCTTCGGCCTCGTTCTCGTTGGCTCCGCATTAGTGCAGATTAGGCGGGCTTAAGCCCTTGCTAGGCTTGCCATTATCGCGCGCCCCCCATGGCTTTATTTTTGACGTCGAGTCTGCAGCCAGCAAAGACATCGGTCACTAATGGTGTACTCCGTTTTGGGAATCAAATGCATCCGTTTATTCTCCTTGTGTTTAGGAAGGCACCAATGATCCTTGACTTTCTTAGAGATCTCCGACAACATTAGTCTCGAACACAGTCTTCTCCCCCTCACGTTGCCCCGCTGTAATTCTTTTGGGTGTCCATTCATACCAGATCATCTCAGGTACTCATCAGCTTCTCACGAGTCACTTACCCTGAGTCGAGATCGTTCGAAACCCGCAGTGGATCAGTGAAAAACAGACAAAGTAAATTCGCCAGCAGTAAGAAAGCCGTGTACAAGTGGAGAGTTAACTTAATTGAGTTTCCAATAGTGTTGTTGGCGGGCGATCCGGTCGATGTACAGTTGGTCAGTTGCAATCCGCTCCAGATATCTGAGTGAGTATCAGGCCACTCAAGAGGTATAGTATTAGACCTCTCTATCGTGATGAAGGGGGATTATCACCAAATGCAGTAGTCCGCACTGGACGGAGGCTCCATGGAACCAATTAATCATCGCGCCCCATCGCCAGTGAGACCCAACATGGGTCTCAACTGGTGGGTGTGGTATCTGAATGCCAGAGAGACGTAAGTGGTGTCGGGGCAAGCTGGAATTCTCCGAAGTGTTCGGTCCATCACACTAGTATCACATCGCAAGGCTACCAACTATGCGTGGAGGCAAATGTCATTGGGTCGAATAAACGCTCCCCTGAAGCAGTTCTGGCCTACCAGCAGCATGCGCTTAGGATGAAACTCCCCCTGTTGAAACTATCTGGGCACAAGATCGAGCCGGGGGGTCGTGCAGGGTGGCTAGTGGCCCAGCAGCTAAAGAGACAGACGCTCCATCCGGGTAGGATTTGCACCCTCCCGCAGCGGCGTGATGCATGACGCAGCCACTGCTAGAGGACAGCTGGACCGACAGACCTGCACTGCCTACGCCCCGGAGAGGAGTGGTGCAGACCAGAATCGGGGCTGACGGAGAGGGCGAGAGAGCGAAAGAGCCAGCCGGAGGAAGAAACGAAAGAAGGCGAGGGACCGTGGCGAATGGCTAAGAATAATCAGGACCAGACGCATACACGTGGGCCCGCCTGATCTGCGTAAGTTACAGGGGACTTGTGTTTTGGTGGTTTGACGGTTTGGCGGTTTTTTTTGCGGTATCTCCGCTAACGTCACGCTGCTGGGGTTTTGTTTCGCATTTTTTTGTAGATGATATTTTTTTTTTCCAATGTAGATAACAGTATTTATCAGTAGGAGATTTTGTCTGCATTGCAATCCAGACATTTCTATACAAAAGCCAGTCCCTCCCCCACCCCAAGAGGAACTGGAATAACACATAGCACTCCACAAGAAGATCTACATTAGTTGACTCTTTAACAACTCTCATACACGGTTCAGCAAACAGCCTCGACGTCATCGCTCTTGTCGCAAATCCATCTCTCACATCTACGGTTCTGCTTTCTTTTACCCTGCCCCGCCATATTTTAATCAACGGCCCGCCCCAGTCAGCCGCTGCCGTCACCCACGGTTCGCTTGCAGTCAGTTCCTTTCCCTCTAGTATTCCCTACCAGGTCATCCACTGCTTCAAATCCAAACATATCACACATGTCTCGATACGGCGACTACCGTCGCTCTACTGGGGCTCTCGACGAGGACCACTATTCGCGGGAACGTGAGCGTCACCGTCACCGTCACCGTTCACGTGGACCCCCGGTACTCGAGCGCCCCCGCCGTGTCGAAGAGGATGATCGCTTCGAATATCGCCTTCAGGAACAGGAGCGATACGGCCCCCCTGCCCGTCGCTCCGAAATGTTCTACGAGGATGAACATCTAGCCTACTCCCCAGGTCCGCTGGTCACCTACCGCCATGCCGAGAGCCCTCCCCCGCGCCCGCGCCTTCTGCGCCGGCAGTCTTCCCTGGACACTTTTGACCGCCCAACACGCAAGATCGATGAATATTACTATAGCGACTACCCGCCTAGAGCTCCTCCTAGTCCCCCGCCAATGCGAAGACGGGGCTCTTTCCACCGTGTTCGTTCGCCCGACTACTACGAGGAAATTCGTATTGCGGAACCAGACTACTATGGCGACGAAGAGTACCGGGAGTTCCGTGAGCGGGATCGGATTGTCGAGCGCCCACGTCGCTCAGTGAGTCGGTTTCGTGAGAGAATGGTAGAGGAAGTCGACGTGGAGAAACCGTATCCTCGGAAAGGCAAAACTCGCATGCCTCGCAAACTGGTTCACACCAGCGCGATCCGCGAATTTGGCTATCCGTATGAGGAAGAGGTGTGTATATTCATGGATACAAAGTCGAGCTGGAATGAAACATGGCCTGGGCCTTGTCCAACGCTGACCGTGTCTGCAGGGGAAAATGATCATCATCCAGGTTGCTCTTTCTAAGGAGCAGATCGACGAGGTCATCAGTCGAAGTCGTGAGATGAAGCGCATGACCGAGAGTAGGTTCTCCACGTGCTTGCCATCAAGAGAGCAATGGTGCTGACAGTCTGTAAGCACGTTATAAGCATACTTCCTCACCCTCACCCGTCCGTGACAGAAAGCGCGAACGCATAGTGGAACGAATCGCTATGGACAGTTACACCCCCCGCACGAGCCATGAGACTTTGCTCATCGAGCCATCTCCATCCCGGCACCGGTCGCGGTCGCGCCATCACCATCACCATCACCACCATGGCGAGCTAGAGGAAAAGAAAATAACCAGGACGGTCTCTCGGACACGAAACGTGTCGGTCCAGGGTCGCCCTCGCCGTCGGTCATCGCCCGTGCGTAGAATTGAGCGGTATGACGATGGAGCGCAGTCCACTAAGCTTCAGTCCGGCCCACTTGCCATCGTTGTACGCCCGCGAGACAGCGATGACGATCTGCGGGAATACACGCAATTCGAGCGACGTGGCGGTGGAGAGATGATCCGGGACACGGAGATTATTGGCGACGGCGAAGAAGAGGAGATCCTCGAGGTGAAAAAGGATCGCAGAGGTAGGATGAGCCTTGTCCGACGCAAGCGGTGAAGTGCGGATTCTAAGTGATATTCATAGGCCCGAGCTCACGGCTCATGCGAGCGATGATGGCGACGTTGACTTAATCCGGGTAACTGAATGCGGACTCGGGGAGCATTTTTACGACTTTCAGCTATTTCCTCCTTAACGATTTCGGTGTCTCCTATTTTTCATCTGTACTATACCAGTTTGATTGCGATGACGACTTGTACTATGATTCGATTGGTACGGTTGACGCCATACTATCACGACGACGATAACGACAATGGGATTCTTGTTTGTTTCATGGGCTTGTGCGCGTTATTTAGCTCTTGTTCCTGAGTTTGTTCTGTGGATTGTGTGCTTAGACCATATTTAATACTTACCCGGCCTTCTCTGGACCTAGCCAATGCAAGAAAACCGACCAGTGCTGCACACATTAGAGTTTGTCTAAAGAGTAGACGTGTGGTACTTGGTAGTAAAGTAGAACTGACCACACTGACCACACAGATTATAGCGTGAGATAGCGATGCTGCCTGGGTGCCTGGCTCATGCCGGCATGAAACCGTGGCGGTACCAGCGATACGAAGGCGGTGTCGCACCAATGAACGGAAAGTGGCCTCGACTCCGCGATCTGCACATCAACACCATCTTCTCTCTGACCCTCCTATTGCAGACTTCCTGCATTTGTATTCAAATTAGATATATCGTGCTTTACTCGGAAACTCAAGAGACTTAGTGTCCAACTACATCATGGATAAGTTCCAGGCGTTCGGAAAGAACCTCAGGTGAGATACTGTTCCCCTCCGCTATAATTTCTCCGATTAGGAGACTGTCCGCATCTCCAGCGGCACTCCGATGTTGTCATACAGCCAAGACTTCAACCCAAGCATCTCTACTAACAAGCCATGTCTTATCGAATAGCGCGAGCTTCTCGCCCTTTGCTGCGCGCACTCAGCAGATGATCAAGGAGCAGCTCGGCCAGGCCGACGACCGGACTCAACTCCCCGATGAGTACATCGAGCTGGAGAAGCGGGTGGATGCCCTGAAGATTGTCCACCAGAAGCTCCTTCAAGTGACGTGCGTGATATTTGCCCCCGTAACCTCTCATCTCTCAGTCAGCTAACATGTTGGCCCTATCACATGCAGTTCCCAATACTCCAACGAGGCGTATGACTACCCGCCCAACATTCGCGAATCCTTCAACGACATGGGCCGCACCATCAGCGAGAAGGTCCAGCTCCTTTCCCAGGCCTCCTCTCCCGCCGAGGCTCAGGCTGCCCTGACTGCCCCTCCCTCGGCCAAGCCGCAGCCCAAGACCTTTAACCACGCTATTGCCCGCGCCTCTCTGGCAGGTTCCCAGACTCTGGCGCAGAGCTCGCATGGTGAGGACCCTCTGGCCACTGCGCTGGAGAAGTACGCTTTGGCGTCGGAGAAGGTGGGCGAGGCCCGTCTGGCCCAGGATGCTCAGATCCAGTCTCGCTTCTTGGCTGGCTGGAACACCACTCTTAACACGAACTTGATGTTCGCGGCGAAGGCACGTAAGAACGTCGAGAACGCTCGTCTTATGCTCGACTCAATCAAGGCAAGCAAGAAGGCCGCAGTCAGGGGTGACTGGGACAGCCTGAGCGAGGAGGCTCGTGCGGAGATCGAACAGGCAGAGGATGAGTTCGTCGGACAGACCGAGGAGGCTGTGAGCGTGATGAAGAATGTACGTTGGTTCGTCTGCGTGGAAGAAAGTGTAAAGACTGACAGAAATTTTCAGGTCCTCGATACCCCCGAACCTCTGCGGAACCTGGCCGACTTGATCGCGGCGCAGCTAGAGTACCACAAGCGGTCTTACGAGATACTCAGCGAGCTGGCTCCTGTTGTCGATGGCTTGCAGGTTGAGCAAGAGGTATGATCGATCAATATTCACAGGTGGTGTTTCATCGTGACTAATTGGCATCTTCCTGCAGGCCAGCTACCGTAAGAGCCGTGAGGGCGCTTAAATCGGTTGTTGCTGGAATTTGTCGCCATTGTCTCGTGTCGTTTTGTTGCCGCCTGTTATTGGAAACTAGCCTCGTTTGATTCACCCTGTTTGTCTTGTGAAATTGTTCTATATCCCTCGATGTGTGAATGCGTGGGTTATTGACTGCTTGAAGTGTAAATTGTGCAGTGTATATCGTAGACTGATACAGTATGACATTCGCCTACTATACTCCTAGCCCAGATGTCTCTTTTACAGAATTTCTCGAAAATACCCTGCGCAAGGGCCTGCATCAGCTAGACTTATTCTCATCATTCTTCTTCCCATAACATAAACTCCCCTGTCCAAAACAAAGCCATCAAAATAATAATCTCGATCTTCCTTCTGCAGCACATAGCTAGAACCCGTCTCCAGATGATGAGTTCTGCCTCAGGCATCAACCCCGAGCAGCGGCGCAGCTCCGCCGATAACCTCCCTCTCGATAACCACGTAACTCCGTCCCCCGTTCCGACCAGCTAGCTGCGCGACAATCCAGTTTGAGCCCCGTCCTCCACCTACTACTGCGACCCTACCTTCTTCTAGCGAATCAAACAGACGACCGACTTCTCGAAAGCCGCATTTGCGCCGTTTCACCAGCCAGCCAGCGAGTCAGCTACCCAGCTAGATAGCTACCTACCTCCACCGGTCCTCAAATCCACGACCTACACCTCGCAAGCAAGAGAGAAAGAGAGCAGAAACAGCAAGGCTGGACCTGCTGTATTACGACACAACACTTATCATTCCTGAACGTATACTCGATCGATCGATCGGAGCAAGAAAGCAGAATGGCGAACGGGTATGTCATGTTTGATACCTGTCTGTAGACTGGATATCTTTCCATGCGCTCTCCCAGTCATGGATAAGAAAGACATCATGGCTATGATACTGCTAAATGGAAACATATGCTAACATGATATTCTGGAAATACAGCTGGAGTTTAATCATCGGCCTCATCTTCGTGGTTGTTGCCTCCGTCCTGGCTTGGATCTTTAGTCCTAAGGGGGAGAATCAGACGTGCGTTTTATACATCCTCTTTCCCACCTTTAATACAATCGAGGAGGTACTGTGTTTACTGACGTTTAGCCTTTTGGGAATGGAATAGTGTCTTCCGCAGCACGCTCGTGCTTTCTTTCGTTTGTTGTTATTTGATGTGGGGTATGTTGAATTCAACACTCATTCCCTTTTCGCTCTTACTCTGTGGCTTTGGTAGGGCGTGGCTAACTGGTACTGCTTTGTAGCTATTACATTCCTGGCGCAGTGGCATCCGTTGATTGTGCCAAAGAGGGCGGATATTCGGCCGGGGAGGGTACCGCAGTAGTTTGATGCTATTTTGCTGTTTGCCTGTGAAGAGGCGAGGCTGTTTCAGGGCGATGTGGCTGGGATGGGATGTGGTTGAATAGTTGAATACCAGGGGATGCGTGGAATAAGGGGCCTGTGCTGTGGCCGTGGGGGAGATGTGACTGAGGGTGAAGTGGAGGGGGGGAGGTGATACCATGATATAAAATGTGGGATTACTGTATAGCTACGCTACTATATTTTTTTGTTTTGTTCTTTCGCTTGGTTTCAATACCTATTTGTCTATCGACCGTCTCTGTGGGGTTGAGATTGGTGTAGATGTTCACTACTGTGTAGTGAGTATATGGTATGGTATGGTATATCAAGATGCTATGTCTATGTATTTAGTAATATGCTCTCCTCTATAGAAATATTAACCAACTCCAACTGCCCCCAATATCACCCTCTGTACTGTCCACCGAGCAGCCAATCCTGCCACCGCCAATGCCACCGCGCGCAGGTACCCGCACCCAAGCAGGATATACAATGCTTCGATGTTGCTCAGCAGCACGAGATGCGTGTCCGCCGCGCCCAGAGAGAGCAGCGGCCCAAGCAGGTCAATAAAGCTAGCCAGATAGCTGGTAGGTACAGACTCGGGCATAATCCTGAGAAGACTTTCCAGCAGCGAGGACGAACCGGGCAGAGACGAAGTCCCCGTGGCAGTCGGGTGAGCTGCGGTGAGAGTCGCTGCGGGGGCGAGGCCGCTGCCATCCAATGTCTGCTGCATGACGGTTGTCTGGCTACCGGCGCTGAGCAAAGTATTGTTAGAGCCGGAGACATTGGACGCATTTCCGCTGCCGTCGGGGCCCCATATGACCAGAAGGATGGGGAAGAGCTTCGCGCAACTGCTGACAAGCAAGGCGGTGCTGATAGCGGTTGGGCTGGCTGGTGAGGGGGGCGGAAGGGGTCTGATGCTTTGTGCCGGGGCGGTGGAGGCACGTCGGAGAGGTGGTGGGAGGGTGGTGAAAGATCCTTGTGGGGTAGTAGGAGGGAGATGGTGGATGTCACTGCCTGAAGCGCTCGCTACTGTTGATACATCGTTGGAGGAGCCTTGTGGGGTAAGCTTCGGCGGACTCAGTGTCGATGCTGGCGTAGGCGAGAGCTGCGTTTGGCTGTTGTTGGTCTGCGACGGGAATGATGGGAGTATGGGTGTGGAGGGATTGGAGAAGATAGGCGCCTCTGTCGCATTGCCGTGCTGAGAAGAGCCAGTATATCCGCGGGGCGTTGGGGCCAGGATCGATGCCAGAAGACGGATGGTAAGGTGGTGGGCAAGAGTCGCCAGCGCATTCAGGCTTAGGAAGAAGAGGTATTGGACGATGATGGGCGCGCGCGAAAGGAAGGTGGTTGCGAGTGATGGAGATTTCTCAATCCGTGCCCATGTCAAGTAGACGTCAAATAGGAGTAGTAGAATCCCTAAACGGATTATGGAGCGCTAGGCAAATGAGATGTGTTAGTTGCAGTCTGCAATGTCGTAGGTGGACGTAGATAGCGTGCGCTTACATCGAACTGGTTGTCGTCTCCCCCTAGCCGATTGAAAAGCAGATGGCGATAAACCTTGGTAATCCGTCAGCGAGACTCTTACCTATGCGTGCAATTCACATACCTGCGGCTTGATAAGGACGAGATCAATGAAGATCACGACGAAATCATGCTCGACGTATTTGTCCGCGAACCGCTGGCAGCGCGGACATTGCGTCAGACGCACTCCTTTGCCCAGGGATCGGTCATCGGCGCGACTGTATGTGCTGTATAAATGAGAGACCGGATAGGAGCACTCGATGCAGATGGGCATCGTGTCATTGACTCCTCTTCATAGCGGAGGAGCCTATAGACATGGGGAAGAATTACAGAACCCCGTGGGCGAGACCGAGATGCCCGCAGGAGATGCCGAAGGCGGTGAGAGTGCTGTATAGGTTATTCCCCTCGATGCTTATCCTGCACTTCGCTTTAACCATACGATAGGCTTGATCATTGTCTAGGATTCATTTTGGATACGATGATTCATTTTAGTGCCACCATGGTTCGGCCCTACTGCTATCCTACAGCTTGCTTCCTACCACAGGAAGGGGTAAGATGTTGTTTCTCTGGCTCTGCAACCGCTCAGTTGTTGTCTTGAATAGACGCGGCAGCCCCGTCTGCTCGTACGTAACCCCCTCGACAATCAACTGTGCGATGCCCCGAGTTGAGAGAAAGACCTGCGGCATCCCATGTCCGGTGAATCCGGCCACTATGAGTTGCCCCGGCTTGTTTGGAATATGCCCAACGTGTGGGAGCGAGTCGCTACTATATCCCATGACTTTTTCAGGTTAGCACCGTACGATTTTATACTACGAGCACGAACAGCATGCGAGATAGGATACATACTTCCTGACCAGACACGGTCTGTATATGCTCCCGTGTTTTCCCACCCATGAAAGTGTCTCTGCATATAATTGTCAAAGTATCGCACTGCCGCCTCGACCGTTCGGCTGTCGTCGGTATTGTTGTACCAGCTGTCTTGGTCCTGGTAATAGAAGGTCGACTTCGCTCCTCCTACAATAATACTGCCATCTGGACGGGGAATGAGGTAGTCATAATGCCAGCCATTGAATCGCAGCATATACGAGCGTTCGAGCGGCGATGGAGGTGGATTGGGCACCACAATGCGACTGCAGAATCCTCGCACCGGAATGATCTTGTCTTTGTACTCGGGTGCAATGGACGACGTGTATGCGTTTGTAGAGAAGACGACCCATTTGGCGCGGATTGAGCCTCGATTTGTCGTCACCGTCCATCGGCCTTCATCATCCGGGACGTCAGACACCTTTGTGACAGGCGTGTGTGTCTGAAGGTTTACTCCGGCTGACACGGCCTGCTTCAAGAGATGTATAATGAACTTATACGGCCAGAGTCGGGCGGTATGCTGGCTGAAGCAAGCCAAGGCCCCCTTTACACCGGATACCTAGGCGATGTAAGCCGTGTCGTCCCGGGTGTGTAGATAATGTAGAAAGCGACCTACGCTCTCTGCCATTTCAGGCGGAGTGTATCCGACATCCTTGATCGTTTCCACGCCCTCAGAGACAAGATAATCGTACCCGGCCTTGACCTTTGCAAGCTGGTCTTTGTCAAATTGGACATCGCATACTCGGTTTACCTCTAGATCGCATTCGATCTTCTCTTTTTCAACAAGTTCCTGAATAGCGGAAACATGCTCCATCTCGAACGCAGCGACTTCGGCCGCCGCCTCTAACCCGTGCTCCTTGGCCAGATTACCGGTTCGATTGAATACATCAGGCTTCAAGTGACCACCTACACGGCAGGACCCGCCATGCATTAATATTGACAAGCAGCCTAGGAATGACTTCGATTGGGTACTTGCCATTGCGCCCTGTTGCTCCCGAGCATGCCTGCCGTGCTTCTAAGATCACAATGGAAGGCTGTTCTGCTGATACGAGTCGGCTGCGCTCGAGGCAGTGATAAGCAGTCGAAGCTCCCGCATAGCCGGCGCCAATGATCACGATGTCACTCGTTTCTGGGAGTGACTCTGTAGAGCGAAAGTTGTCCAAGGGATCAGGCTCCGACCGCCAGAAAGATGTCAAGCTATGATCAACAGGGAATGGTTTGGCCATCTTGATACGAGAGAACGGTGACCAGTCCAAATCGCTTCAG